CAACTTCAGGATCTGGCCTTCTAAAGAGCAGTCAGGGTTGATCTCCTCTAGGACTGACCGGTTTGATCGCCTTGCAGTCCAGGGGACTCGCAGGAGTCTTCTCCAGCACCAGAGTTCAAAGGCCTCAATTCTTTGGCGCTCAGCCTTTCTTATGGTCCAGCTTTCACAGCCATACATTGCAACTGGGAAAACCATGGCCCTGACTATACGCACTTTTGTGCCCAAAAGATCCTACATGGATATGTCACACAAAGTTAACAAGCACCCATGGGAGAGAATACTTGTAACTCAGGGTTGAACAGTGGAGTCCTCGGTGCTTTCTAAGCTTGGCTGTTTTCTTGAAGAGTTTCATAACCAAATTAGGTAACACCGTCAGCTCACTGATGATGTTACTTAGTTTGGTAATGAAACATCTGCAAGGAAAGCCACCAAGCTTAGGGAGCTCCAAGGACTTCACAGTTAATAAGGAATTGAGCACAAGTCAAAGCAGACTTCAATTTTCAGACAAAAGAAAAACCCCAAATAGACTTTCCTGCCATTCTTAACCACCTCTGCATTTTGATTGGGATGCTAATGAATGCCAGGTTAATACGATGGGTTGAGGGTCCAACTATAGTAAAAGAGGTAGGGCAGTCTAGTGGTTAGGGCTTTGGACTCAGTGGGTGATCCAGGTTAAAGGCCCCATTTAAGCATTTAACTCTGAGTCGCGCTATCTTTCAGCCCAACTATCTCAAAAATTGGATCATGGAAATAATACTATTATTATTATTTCTTAAAATTTTTATGGGCCGCCCATCTTACCACAGGTTGACACTGGGGGGCTTACAGTATTAAATGCTAGAGGAGATTCTAATACTGAAAAGGCAGTTTGTCAACGACACTGAATATGATTTAAATAATAAACAAGTCAATTTGAAAATGACACAGCTGTTTCCTCTCCTTTGGAAGGCTACCTTGTGGTTCCGGCAGGAGGTGGCGGCACTTTCCTTGGCGGGTTCCTTGTGAACAAATTTAAGCTGCGCTGCTCAGGGATCATCAAGTTTTGTTTCTTGTGCACCATGTCGAGTCTTCTGGCAATTTTTATCTTTTTTACTGATTGTCCCAACATGCCCATGGCTGGAGTGACCCAGATGCACGACGGAAGGTAAGCAGTGGAAGAACAATCCCCGTGCAAAGGAGGGTATTCCAGATGAAGGCTACAAAAGAATAATATCACATTAAAAATCTCTGTCTGTCTGTCTGTCTGTCTGTCTGTCTGTCTGTCTGTCTGTCTGTCTATCTATCTATCTATCTATCTATCTATCTATCTATCTATCTATCATCTATCACAGTGATGGCGAACCTTTTAGAGACCGAGTGCCCAAACTTCAACCCAAAACCCACTTATGTATTGCCGGGTGCCGGGTGGGTGTGGCCACCGGGTGGGTGTGGCCTCTGGGTGGGCATGGCTACAGTGGTCATGGCAGATGGGTGGGCGTGGTTAGGGTGGGCATGGCCAGCTCGATGTTGCTCCTGGGGAGGGATGCATGTGGGGCCAGGCAGGGTGGGGGATATCCAGGGGTCTCTGGCAGGAGGCTGGTTCTGCCGGGTGAGGTGAGGCAGGGCAGGGGTGCCATGTCACAGGGCAAGGTGAGGCAGGTGCCAGGGCGGCTGCTGCCTGACACCCTCGGCCCCCGCACACAAAGGCCAGCAAGTGCATGGGTGCTGGGATGCATCCAGCCACGTGGGACCTTGGCAAGTTAGCAGGCGGTTGGTTGAAGAGGATGATTGCCATCTCCAGGGCATGGTGCGCGTGCCCACAGAGAGGGCTCCAAGTGCCGCCTCTGGCACACGTACCATAGGTTCGTCACCACTGATCTATCACTTGCCCTACCTACTAAAATTATATCCATCTAACTGTGTTATCTGTATCTGTCTGTCCATCCATCCACAGTATCGATTCATTGATTCATCCAGCCAGCCACAGTATCCATCCATCCACCCACACCTGCCCTATCTAAAGTATTTATGTCCATTTATCTATGTTATCTGTCTGTCTCTGTCTATCTATCTATCTGTCGTCTATCTTTCTATCATCTGTCCTATCTACTGTGACTGTATCCAACTAGCTGTGTTGGATATAGATATTACCTATATCTATCTGTCCATCCATCCGTCCATCCATCCGTCCATCCATCCATCCTATCCACATATCTATGTCTGTCTGTCTGTCTATCTATCTATCTATCTATCTATCTATCTATCTATCTATCTATCTATCTATCTATCTATCTATCTATCTATCTATCTATCTATCTATCTATCTATCTATCTATCTATCCAACTATCTAACTAGCTATCTTTTGTCATCTACTGCATACAACATATCTATCCATCAGATACCCCCTATCATCCACTTTACCTACCTTTCCATTTATCCATCCATCCATCTCCTATTCTATGGAAGAATGGCAGCCAGAGAAGATCAACTGAGTAGCAGACATTCAATTTTTAATAAATAATCCACAAATACTACAGAATTTGGATTTTCTTTACAGTCTTCCAGAGACATTACTACCTCTGAACCACTGTTGGAAGTATACAGACACTGCCTGATACTCAATTCTGATCACTAAAATAAATGTATGGGGTGGGGTGGGGGGCAGGACAGGTATTAAAGTTAAGGCATGAGGCATTGATACAGTGGGTGCCCAAGGATGCTGTACACTCACGGCTGACATGAATGCCACTTCTAGCTGGTCTCAAACTAGCATCTCATAACTATTGAAATATATCAGCAATCCTTAGCTGGGTAAATCTCCTTCTTGCCTCGCATATTGTTTTCAAGCGTTGGAGCTGATAAGGTTAGGAAGAAAATATATTGACCAATTATATGTTTTGTTTAGCCTCTTACTGCAAGGTCACCTCAACCTGTCTGACCCCTGCAACATGGAGTGCCACTGCCTGCGTGAGACCTACAATCCGGTGTGTGGGAACGACGGCATAACATATTACTCAGCCTGCCACGCTGGTTGCAAAAAAGCCTCAATAAATCACGACAGTCGGGAAAAGGTGTGTGCAGGATATCAGCCTTCACTTGTTCTCCTTCTTGGGCCCAAACCCTGTCGATATGTAACCAAACGATTGAGGTTGACTCTGCTTTCATGTAACAATAACAATAATAAAGTTGGAAGGGACCTTGGAGGTCATCTAGTCCAACCCCCTGCTCAGGCAGGAAGCCCTATACCATTACAGACAAATGGCTGTCCAGTCTCTTCTTAAAAACTTCCAGTGTTGGAGCATTCGCTGCTTCTGGAGGCAGGTTGTTCTACTGGTTAATTGTTCTAACTGTCAGGAAGTTTCTCCTTAGTTCTAGGTTGCTTCTCTCCTTGATTAGTTTCCATCCGTTGCTTCTTGTCCTGCCTTCAGGCGCTTTGGAAAATAGCTTGACTCCCTCTTTTTTGTGGTAGCCCCTGAGATATTGGAAGACTGCTATCATGTCCCCCCTCGTCCTTCTCTTCATTAAACTAGACATACCCAATTCCAACAGCCGTTCCTTATATGCTTTAGCCTTCAGTCCCCTGGTCATCTTTGTTGCTCTTCTCTGTACTCTTTCTAGAGTCTCAGCATGCTTTTTACATCGTGGTGACCAAAACTGGATGCAGTATTCCAAGTGTGGCCTTACCAAGGCATTGTAAAGTGGTATTAATACTTCACGTGATCTTGATTCTATCCCTCTGTTAATGCAGCCTAGCACTGTGTTGGCTTTTTTGGCAGCTGCAGCACACTGTTGGCTCATATTAAAGTGATTGTCCACTAGGACTTCATATGTCTATGGAGATTCTTCATCATTCAGGTCAGGGGTGTCAAACTGCCGGCCCGCGCTCCGGACGCATCATCCGGAAGCCATGCCCATCCCATTGCGTGACGTTGCGAGTTTGACATGTCTGATCCAGGTCATGGTTGTCCCAAAGATGCTGCTTTTTTTCCCCAAAAAAAGCCAACTGGACTTTCTTAGTGTTTTTTTTTTTTTGAAAACATTTCACTTTTCATCCAAGAAGCTTCTTCAGAACTGAAACATTTTCAAAGGAAAAAAAAATTAAGAAAGCCCAGTTGCCTTTGGGGGGAGAAAAAAAGCACCTTTGGATTTGTGTGTGGAAGGATGTGGATGGATGGATGTGGATGGATGGATGGATGGATGGGAAGATCATTTTTGCTTCGATTCCTAATCATGAATGCCGTGAATTAAGTATGTTTGGTGCATGCAGGATACAAACAGAAAGGATACAGGTAGTCCTCGACTTACGACCACAATTGAGCCCAAAATTTCTGTTACTAGGTGAGACATTTGTTGAGTTTTGCCCCATTTTGTGACCTTTCTTGCCACAGTTGTTAAGTGAATCTGGCTTCTGTATTGATTTTGCCTGACAGGAGGTCACAAAGAGGTGACCATATGACCCTGGTACACTGCAACCGCCATAAATATGAGTCAGTTGTCCAGTGTCTGATTTCTGAACACTTTACAACCGTGTTACTAATTTAACTACTGCAGTGATTCACTTAACAACTATGGTAAGGAAGGTGGTAAAATGGGGCAACATTCACTTAGCAACTGTCTCACTTTGGGCTCAGTTGTCGTCATCAGCTGAGGATTCCCTGTAGTGCAGTTTGCACAACAGTGGTGTAACATGGGACACCTCAGGGGCCCCTAGAATTATGTGAGCTGCTGTATTCTGTGCCAGTTGTAGCTTCCGAATACTCTTCAAGGATAGCCCCATCTAGAATGTGTTGCAGTAATCCAACTGAGGGGGTGAGCAGAAAAGGGATCGTTCCTTTTGTTCCTGTTTTGGCCCTCTCTGTTTGCACACATACACTTCCAAAGCCCTAACCAAGCTTAAACAGAGTCCATACTTGGAGGGCTTTTCAATTTATCCCATCGATCAGAGACTGGCAATTTCAACTTTATATTGACTACCAAGAACGCAGACAATAGGGTTGGAAGGAACCTTGGAGGTCATCTAGTCCAACCCCCTGCTCAGGCAGGAAACCCTAGAATAGAATAGAATAGAATAGAATAGAATAGAATAGAATAGAATAGAATAGAATAGAATAGAATAGAATAGAGGTGGAAGGGACCTTGGAGGTCGTCTAGTCTAACCCCCTCCTCAAGCAAGGGGCCTTATACCATTCCAGACAAATGGCTGTCCAGTCTCTTCTTGAAAACTTCCAGAGTTGGAGCACCCACTGACAAGCCGTTCTATTGATTAATTGTTTTTGCTGTCAGGAAATTTCTCCTTAGTTCTAGGTTGCTTCTCTCCCTGATTAGTTTGCATCCGTTGCTTCTTGTCCTGCCTTCAGGCACCTTGGAGAATAGCTTGACTCCCTCCTCTTTGTGGCAGCCCCTGAGATATGGGAAGACTGCTATCATGTAACTCCTAGTCCTTCTTTTCATTTCTAGTCCTTCTTTGACTTTGACAGAGGAACAGAATTGGAAGGGACCGTTGGAGCTCTTCTAGTCCACCCATCCCTTTCTCAGTCAAGAGACTCTATACCAGGGGTAGGCAACCTCGGCTCTTTTATGACTCGTGGACTTCAACTCCCAGAATTCCTGAGCCAGCATGGCTCAGCTTGGAAACCTCTCCCTTTCCCCTCAGCATGGCTGGCTCAGGAATTCTGGGAGTTGAAGTCCACGAGTCATAAAAGAGCCAAGGTTTCCTACCCCTGGACTATACCATTCCAGACAAATGGCTGTCCAGTCTCCTCTTGAAAACCTCCACTGAACACCCACAACGTCTGGAGAGAAGCCATCCCACTGATTAATTGTTCTCGCTATCAGAACATTTCTCCTTAATTCTAGGTTGCTTCTCTCCTTGATCAGTTTCCATCCATTGTTTTTTGTCTGGCCTTCAGGTGCTTTGGAGAATAGGTTGACTCCCTCTTCCCTGTGGCAGCCCCTCAAGTACTGTAAGACTGCTATCATATCATGGCTAGTCCTTCTCTTCATTAGACTATAGACATACCTAGTTCCCTCAATCGTGCACATGTACAGACCAGATGCTATACACGTATGACCAGATACTGTGGGCTGAACTGAGGAATGTTTGCATGCAAAATATGAGCTGTACCCAGTGGTGGGATTCAGCCAGTTCGCACCACTTTGGCAGAACCGGTAGCTAATATTTTTGTTGCCTAGGCCCAGAATGGACTTCCGGAAGCGGCATCCACACAGAGAACCGGTTGTTCACATATTTCAGGGGTCTTCAAACTTGGCCCTTTTATGACGTGGACTTCAACTCCCAGAATTCTTCAGCCAGCGTGCCTGGCTGAGGAATTCTGGGAGTTGAAGTCCACAAGTCATAAATGGGCCAAGTTTGAAGATCCCTGACATATTTGAATCCCACCACTGGCTGAGGTTCATTTCTCCTGAGCAACATTGGCTAAAGAAAAGAAATAGACATCATTGTGTTACAGTGTGCAGTGACTGTTCTAAACTACCATTCTTGTTTCCTAAGGTTTATCATGAATGCAGCTGCATTGTTGGCCCCAACGCTCCGGTCTCTGGCTTGGCTACGGCAGGGAAGTGTACATCTTCATGTGAAAGAAAGACTCTTCTTTTGATTTTCATGTTTGTTATCATTCTCTTCACATTCCTAAGTAGCATTCCTGCGTTGACAGCTACATTGCGGTAAGCCAGAGAAAAATAAGACTTATTTTCTCAAAGCTGAGGCGAAAAGAGAGTTTTTTTAACTATCGAAATCAGGGGTCTCCAAACTTGGCCACTTGAAGACTTGTGGACTTCAATTCCCATAATTCCTCAGCCAGCAAATTTGGCCACTTGAAGACTTGTGGACTTCAACTCTCAGAATGCAGGCTGAGGAATTCTGGGAATTGAAGTCCACAAGTCTTCAAGTGGCCAAGTTTGGAGACCCCTGATCTAAACTCCAGCACTTCTTTCTTTCTTTCTTTCTTTCTTTCTTTCTTTCTTTCTTTCTTTCTTTCTTTCTTTCTTTCTTTCTTTCTTTCTTTCTTTCTTTTCCTTCCTCCCTCCCTCCCTCCCTCCCTCCCCCCCCCCTCTCTCTCTCTCTCTTTCTTTCTTTTGAAATTAAGTCTGCAGACAAATTAGTTATTACTCCAGATCAAGACTGGCTATAGGAACAAAACTGAGTTCATATTACACTTTAAATCCTAACTTGATGTGAGCAAACCAGAAATGGCTATAGTTATATATGGTGGCCAAACATATGGTTTAATGGGATGGTCTGGTTGTTCACACAACCTGCTTAAAATGTTTGCCTAAGTTTCTACAACATCCTGAGTCACAAATGAATCAATCAAACCAACTAACCTTTTTTATTCTTATTAATTATACAATATATGTGTACAGTATTGTGTTTAAGGATATATTTAACCTATTATTTGATTTAGAATGTGTTCCATAACAGGTTCTGCTGAAATAAATAAATTTAATCTTGGCTTAATGTGATGGCCTTGTTCGCATGATCTGCTAAAACAGTAACTGGGGGCTAAACAAGAAAATACTCATCCTTATTTTAGTCTAAGTTTCATAGGCATCCATTCAACTGCAGTGGCTTCTAAAGGATGGAGCCTGCACAATCATGTCGTAATATAGAATCTACCCTTCCCTGCTTGTACATGTAGTCCTCGACTTACGATTCATAGCTTAGCAATCATTAGAAATGACGACTGAGTTGAAAAGAGGGACTTATGACCCGGATTCAAAGTTCCAATGGTTGGGTCCCCTCCATAGTCACATGACCGAATTTCAGGCACTTGGCAAAGCAGCCATATTTACAGCCATTTGCAACATCCCACTGTCATGGGACCATGTTCTGTGATGGTTTTGTCCCAAACTGGCAGTTACTTCTGCTTTTCAGCAAAACTGTACCCCTAGTGCAGGGGTAGGCAACCTCAGCTCTTTTATGACTCATGGACTCCCAGAATTCCTGAGCCAGCCACGCTGAGGGAAAAGGAAGAGGTTTCCAAGCTGAGCCATGCTGGCTCAGGAATTCTGGGAGTTGAAGTCCACGAGTCATAAAAGAGCCAAGGTTGCCTACCCCTGCCCTAGTGAGTCATTGGTTTGCTTAACAACTATGGCATTCGCTTAATGATTGTTGTGAAAAGATTGTAAAATTGGGTCAGTCCTGTGACCGACCTGCTTTATGACCATTGTGATGGGTCGTATGTTGAGGACTATCTATAGATACAAGTACATAAGGGAGGATGTTTGCATTATCAAACACCTTTGCCATTACTACTTGCCACTTTCCCCACAGATGTCTAGCCTTTTTTTGTCCATCACTTTGTCCTACATTTTGTCCTACACTTAATTGTACAGGACAAAAGAGAGAACTGTCCTGTTTGAGTCTCTCTGTAGCCGATCCTGCTTGCCTTTGTTTTTAAATGTTTGTTTTATGTGTCCCAGGTGTGTTTCCGACAGACAGCGATCATTTGCACTAGGAATCCAATGGATTGTTGTGAGAACACTAGGTACAGTATCCAAACAAGATTTGTAGCCTTCTCCGTGTTTTGTGTTAATTAAGATGTTCTAAACTGCTGGGATTTCGGCATTCGTGGTACAAACAGTCCTTGTGTCAACACTGCTAACATTGGATGTTTTTGCTTTGACAACATATGGAGATGCAACCATTTTCCTTCTTATGTTTTACTCTTAGAATTAAAGTTGGAATTAGATGATACTGGGGGGGGGAGGAGGAATGTGCATGGGAGTTTAGTTAGACATAACAATACTGTAACTCGTGTGAGAACCAAGGTTTTTGAAATAAGAGATGATAAGACATGGCCGGGTTGGAGAACTGGAGGGAAAGCCTGCATTTCAAACTAATTGGAGAATGTGATTGATGACTGTAAATTAGAGGAGGGAATTGTGCTTTGATACTATGGGCTCAGGGGAGGGGAATTGAGATTTTAGCTTTGGCTATGTAAGTGCCGACGCTATGCTTCTGAAATAAAGATTCTTTAAGGTAAACAATGCCTTGAAGTTCTTTGAAGAGTTTCATCTGTCGGAACCATGACACCTTGAACTTACAACTATTTGTTTTGGTGACCACTCAAAGTTACAACGGCACTGAAAAACGTGACATGACCATTTTTCCCACGGACAGCCATTGCAGCATCCCTATGATAAGGTGATCAAAATTTGGATGCGTAGCAACTGGCATTTATTTATGGCAGTTGTACTGTCCAGGGCCGTGGTGGGATTCAGCCAGTTCGCACTACTTCGGCAGAACCGGTAGCTAATTTTTTGTTGCTCAGGCCCAGAATGGACTTCCGGAAGTAGCATCCACACAGAGAACCGCTTGTTCACATATTTGAATCCCACCACTGGTCCAGGGGTCATGTGATCACCTTAAGTGACCTTGCCAGACAGCTTCCAACAATTAAAGTCAGTAGGGGAAGCCAAATTCACTTAATGCCCGAATTATTCACATCACAGCTGCAGTGATTCATTTCAGAACTGGGGCAAAAAGGTCGTAAAACGGGGGCAAAACTCGCTTCACAACTGCCTTGCTTAGCAACAGAAATGTTGGGCTCGATTGTGGTCACAAGTTGAGGACTACCTGTAGAGAGGCTGAGCTAGAAACGTTCCTTTTGTGAAGGATGACCGCTTTTGCTATTGTGCTATTACTGTGAACATATATAAGGTTGATCTTGGAACTGGTCTTTGAAAGAGGCCGTGAACCGTTCTGAGCGAATATTGTCTTACCGCCTGTTCTTTCGGAGTAATATTTTCCATATGAAGTTGGCCAGTGGAAACTTTGAAAAAAAATCTGATTCCAACAGAGACAAGATGAAATGTGGTTGACACCGTGGAATCAAACATTCCAGCTAGGCCAGAAATATTGGGGTAATATGAAATGCTTGAGATACATGACACCTCTTCATTTCTGTCTCTCTATAGGGAGCATCCCGGGCCCCATTGCTTTTGGGTCAATGATTGACAAGTCATGTCTCTTGTGGCAGAG